GCCCGCCGCCGCCCCGCCCCCCCTGCGCGCTCCGCCGCGGCTCGCCGCCCCCGCCCCCCTCGGGCCTCCTCGGAGGGCGGCGCCGGCACGGGGCCCACTTCGCCCTGGTCGACCCGAGCCGGCGTCGGCTTCGGCCAGCGCGATCCGATTCGATGCCGACATTGCGTGGACAAACACGGCCCGATGCCTGCGCGGCGCCGCCGCGCGTCCTCGCGCAGCCGATCCGGTGCGAGTCCGGCCCCGTGCCGATGCAGCCGGGCATCCGGCGTGTCTCTCGAGCTCTTTGAGGCGCGCGCCCGCGACCTCTCGACCTCTTTCCCCGCTGCAGTTCTCTTCATCCCGAGTCGTTTTTGTTGAATGTCCTGAGGCCTGGTAAGGTTAAGTCGGGCCTGTCTTTCTACAGGAGGGATATTCGAAAATAGGTAAAAAATAGGCTGGGGACTATTTTTTGAGCATTGTTGATTTTGAGTATTGTTGAGCATTCGGGGAGTATTTGTTTGGAATCTTTAATGTGTCGTCCAAAATCCACCTGCAGGGGGACCGACCCAACCTAACGGTAAGGGCCCCGAGAGGCCGAGGCCGAGGAAAGCATCCGTCCCGACTGTTTCGAGATGCCAGATGTCTGCGCGGCCCGAGTCGCTGCACGATCCGATCCGTTCCGACCCTGGAACTACTTCGGTCGGATTGCAACCACTGGAAACGGACTGATCGCAACCTAAAGGATTCCCATACAAACCTGTCAGGAGAACACCGGATTGCAACCGGTCCAAGAGCTCCTGCTGAGGCCTCTGAAAGGCTTCTCTGAGGCCTCTGAAAGGCCTCTCTGAGGCCTCTGAAAAGGCTCCTCTGAAGCCTCTGCGAGGCTTGTGGGAGGCTTCTGAGAGGCTTCTGAGAGGCTTCTCAGAGGCTTGTGGGAGGCTTCTGAGAGGCTTGTGGGAGGCTTCAGAGAGGCTTCTGAGAGGCTTCTGAGAGGCTTCTGTGAGGCTTCTGAGAGGCTTTTGAGAGGCTTCTGAGAGGCTTCTGAGAGGCTTCTGCGAGGCTTCTGAGAGGCTTCTGAGAGGCTTCTGAGAGGCTTCTGAGAGGCTTCTGAGAGGCTTCTAAGAGGCTTCCAAGAGGCTTCTGAGAGGCTTCTGCCAGGCTTCTGAGAGGCTTCTGAGAGGCTTCTGAGAGGCCTGCCCCGCAGGGCCCACAGGTCCCACAGGTCCTGCGTGTCGCACGGGCGCCAAAGGTCTTGCAGGCCGCGCAGGGCGCACGCGTCCCCCAACCACCACAGGCCCAGACAGCCTGGCGCCGTGACAACATCAGTTTTTGTTTCGGGCTCGGGGGACCATGGCCGGGCCCAGGGGCCGTCCAAAAGGGACTCAGTATGCAATGCTGGTCAACTGTAGGTTCATGCGGCGTTGGCGCGCCGGCGACGTTGGCGAAGGCGTTCAAGGCTGCATTTTGCGACGCCGAAGCACCGAGGGACACGTTGGGCCCACTGTACCCGACGAAATTCAACATTGAACGATCGGGGCCGCGATCGATTCAAGTATGAACGATCCACGCGGTGCCAAAAGCCTTGCGGGTGCCGACGCCGCACGAACCTACCGTAGGGGAATTCGTCCAGACCTTTGGGGGTCGACGTCCTGGAAAAGTCATGACGTTGGGGGTTTGGGCCGCCGCGTCTACCCGCGCAACTTCCCCTCCTCCTTCTCCTCCTCCTCCTCTTCCTCCTCCTCCCACTCCTCCTCGTCCTCCTCCTGCTCCTCCTCCTCCTCCTCACCCCCCTCGTGAGATGCAATTTGTTTCACGCCACGCGTTTTCGTTCAGATTCGGTTTCAACCGTATACGAATCACATACGAATCGTATAGGGATCATGGCCACGTTCGAGCTCCAATACATGTGTTTAGCTGAGATCATGATCGGCCGTCTGTGACCGGACCGATCGCAACCGCTTTTTTCAGATGCCCATTGGGCGGCTTAAGAGAACTCATTGAACCCAGAAGCGCTCTTATGATCTCCCAATTTATCAAAACCTTATTGCAACGGCCCAAAAACATCACAACCACTTCGGACCGATCGCAACTGGTTGCGATCGGTTCGAAGTGGCTTACGATCGGTCCGAAGTGGTTGCGATCGAGGCCGACCGAGGGGGCAGCGACACGGGGGGGGAGAGATTGCCGGGGGCGGCGCTCGAGGAGGGCGATCCGAGACGGCGGGCGGGTGGCCGTCGGGGGCCGCCTCCCAGAGTCTCGAGGAGGAGGAGGAGGAGGGGGAGGAGGGGGAGGAGGAGGAGGAGGAGGAGGAGGAGGAGGAGGAGGAGGAGGAGGAGGAGGCCCCGAGGCATCTGGAGCGGCTGGGCTGTGGCCGATTTCGGCCTCCAGGGGCCCCCCGCGGGCCCCCGGACCGTCGAGAGGCGGCTCCGTGGTCCAGACCTCCCGGGGCCCACGCATCGAAAGGGTCGGAGCGCCGGATGTCTGCGCTCGTCGTCGCGGCTGGACGCAGCTCGGAGAATTTGTGCGCCTGGACCCCCGATGTCCCCAGTCGCCTTCTCTCTCCTCCTCGGTTTCTGCCGTGCCCCACCTCAGTGCGGACGATGTCGCGGCGAACTGGGAGCCGATGCTTCGTCCAGCCTCTCTTCTCCGCAGCGCACTCGCGCCTGGCTCTCTCCTCGCGCCCTCTGTGGGCCCGCCCTCGCGTGTGCGGGGCGACTCGGGCGGATTTCCGGACCCCGGGAGGGGTCCGGGGCCAATTCTGGCTGCCTCCGCGGTCTCGGCTCGCCCTGCTCCGGGGGAGGGGGGGGGGAGGGGACGGGCTCGGGGGGGCGGCGGCGGCGGGCCTCGGTCCGTCGGTCGCGGCGCGCGGGGGAGATTGGGGGCAGGGTTGGGGGGAAAAAATTCAAAAATAACAGAAAAGCGTAATAATATTAATATTAATATTATTACGCTTTTCTGTTAATGATAATAATACTAATAATAATAATGATAATAATAATAACAACAATAATAATAATAATGAGAATGATAATGATAATAATGATAATGATAATGATAATGATGATGATGCTGATGATGATGATGATGATGATGATGATGAGTGATAATAATAACTAAAAAAGGAAACCAAGGGTTTGGGGGAGGGCTGGGCTCGAGGGGGGATCGGCTCGAGGAGGCGCTCGAGGTCTGAGGCGGCCTTCGCGCGTTCTCGTTGGGGGCCTCGGCGGGTCTCCAGCCCGCGGGGTGCCATCCGGCGGCTGCGCCTCGCCGGGAGCGTTGCGGGGGTGCCAGGATCGTCCCGAACGGCTGCCGGAGACGCGAGCCGGGGCCCGAAAGCCACCAGGGGCAACCAACGTGAGGGGGGATAGGCTCATCGACAAGACGTAAGAGTGACCTTTCGCCGGTGTGACCTTTGGTGCGGGCACAGATGGGTCCTCAGATGGCTGAAAACGAAGCGATAGCAGCGGCTTGCGCGCCCAGGTTTGGTCTCCCCGCGGCCCCCAAAAAGCCGCGCACCAAAGGTCACTCTTACCCAGGGTCACTCTTGCGTGTAGCCGAGCTCAGGGGGGCGGATAGGGGCCCGATAGCCCATCCTGTCCAGGGGCGTGCGGCGTCCCCATCGGGGACCTGTCGCTGATCTATCGGCGACCTATGGTCTATTCCAGGTCGATGTTTTCCCCTGGGGGAGCACTGACCTGGAATCGGCGACGTTACGCAGTAGCCAACAACGGCGACCCCCAACGTCACCAATAACGGACGGCGACGTTCCGCGTAAGTTCGATCAGAAAGAGTTCTGACCTGACTTGGGGAGACCCGGCGAAATGGGAGCACCGAGTGTTCAAGATAAAGCTACAAGTAACACCCTTTTACGCACAGCTCGAAACACGGCTCCCAAGCTAAGTGCGCCACGATGGTGTCCTGGTTAGCCTAGAGACACTTCACACCGCGGCGCGGCCCCCACGCATCGCCACGATCCCGAACGGAGGTGAAAAGCTCGCCTCTCTCACGCTCCCACCGTCTCCCTGTCAGCACGGGGAAGCCTCCCCGAGCTGGTCACTCCCTGACCCTGCCCCCTCAGATGGGCTCCTCCGCGTCGTGAACAGGAAATGAGCACGGCGGAAGGCTTTCGGGCCTTTGTCGGCCTCCGGTGGCCCTCGCCGGGCCCCGGGGCCGTCAGAGACCGGCTCGGAATGGTCGTGGGCGTCTGAAAGGGTGGTGACGTCACGGGGAGGGGGGGGGGTGGACATAATGGCGGGAGCTATGATATCTCCCCTCATGGCATGGCTCCCTCTCCTTAGTTCAAGATGTCCTCGGGTACCGTACCTCGCCATGGGGCGAGGAGGAGTAAAGGAGGGGGAGTGGGAGGAGGAGGAGCGAGGACTAGAGTTGACCCAGGATGCGTCGACGGTGCTGCAAAACGTCGTCCCGTCTCCAATCCCCTCGCCAGAAGTTCCTACGTATACATATTCTTATTCACGACGGGGAGCTCGTCCTGTAAAGAAGAGCGCCTCATGGGCCCCCCATTCAGGCGAGAGCCGAGCTGTGCAAAGGAGCAGTCTCTCCTTCTTTTCGACTCCCTGAAATGCCAAGTGTTTGGACCATAGAATTCAAGGATGTGTCAACGAGAGCCCCATTTTCAAAAGGAGCCGCTCCGCATCCATGTCGCTGTTGCGCAATTTCAAGTGTGAGGTTATTGAAGTTGCGAGAGTCTCTAGCGATGGCCTCATTTTGAAAGAGACCGCCCGCCATACTTGGAACTTTCGTGTATTGCCTCAATTCTGTGCATTTGCATCACTTCTAGTATTCAGCGAGAGTCTCATTTTGAAAAGGGAAGCGCTCTGCACCCGCGCAGGTGTTGGGACCTTCCCGGCCATGGGGGGAGCTGTGGTCCTCACCCCCTGGAGGGCCCTTCGGCTTCGGTACCCATCTCGAGGGATAGGAACGGTGGCGCGCTCATTTGTGGCTGGTCGGAACGTGCTCGGCGCCAGGGCGAGAGCCTCATTTTGAAACTGGCCCGCCCT